TGCCTGAGCTTGATCCTTGCGAACGTCCTTGCCTGTTTTTTCTCTTCTATTCTGCCAACTTAGGACAATAACCCTGGCTGTTACCACCCATCTGGATTCATAGGTGTGCAATCCCCCAACTCACTCATGCGGGTAACGCGTTCATGCCGTACCGCGGTACTGCAGCTGCAGGACAGTGGTGGCTGGAGTGGAATAGTTGCCACACGTAAAGGCGATGAACCATTTAGCAGCTCTATGGCAGCCTGCAGCAAAGTATCTCTTAGCGTACCTCTCCCTCCCTCCCCATCTGTAGCAATAACCACGTAAGAAAGACAGTCTTTGAAACAGTGACACAACTGAGTGACTATACCAGGCATTAAAACCTAGTTAAAGTTACCATACCGTTTCTGACACTGACCTCATTAACGCTGCCGTACAACGTCTCATTCTTGAAGACGAGTGCCTTCAGACAGTTATATTTCTTTGGCGAGTATAAAATAAAGGAGTGAAGAGAAAATAACCCGTTCTAGTCGTGATGAGGAATACAATAACCCATCACCATAGCAAAGAGCATATTTTATTTGAAAAATACGAATAAAAGATTTTGTCCCTTTTGTTTATTAAAAGAAAATGTAACAATTTCTATCAGTAACACTTGCATAAGGAGGTATACTTTACATTACTCTTTTGTTAAAAAAAATATATATTTTTTTGGAGACTTTGGAAAAATAAGGACGGCCCAATACTTGCAACACGCTCCTAATGTTCCTTCAAATGCACTGTGCCATTTATATGTACTGCAAGTACAAGGTCTTAGCACTTTATAATCCACGAAGTAACCCTAGGCAGCATAATTTCATATTCTTCTCTGCATTTAGAACATTTCCTTTGTTACCCTTTGTGTGAGTCTAAGAGTTTGGTTAACTCCAGACTGGTCCAATACATAGATTTTCTAAAGGACGATTTTACAAAGCCTTATACCACAGAAATTTTGCAATTCTTTTTAAGTACCAGTGAGAATACTTTTACATAGACATTTTCTTGTAGTATTTGCAACTTAAACAACTGCATCAATTACAATTCAAAACCAAAAATGTTTACAATTATTTTGGTTTTCTAAGAAGAACACAAAAAATAAAGTGCACAACAGAGTGAAATTACTTTTAGTCTTCTACGTGTATGTAATAAACATCAACGCTGATAAACAAATTAATTTGTTTTCAATGTATGAATCTTAATCTAATGCCAGTTGAATTCAAGCTCTTTCTTGTCTTTGTATTAAATTACATTTTTTACTGTTTTTAGGTTGACAATATATTTCTACATTTTAAAATACTTACACAGACCATTTTCTCAGAGGATGTGTCAAGACTACAGCATAACGAAAGCCCTCGCCACTGCAAGAAAGAGGGCTTGTTTGAAGGAATGCGACTAGTTAATTTGGTGTAAATGGACTATTAGTTGAATAGCTGTTGCAGAAATAAAATTGTAAATTGGAAAGTCCTTAAGCACCACTTTGTATGTGCCATTTAACTTTACTCAGTACCTTCCAGTTTAAGTAAAACTGGCAGTTTTCAGTGTTTGGTTGTCAAGCGGCAACAGGATTACTATTTAGAGTAATGGGAAAATATTTGAGAATATGAGTACACAAACGATCCATGAAAGATTTAAGCAAAGTCTGTACAATCAGACTTGACCATAAATTAGAAACGTTTCCCACGATACTTTCACTGAATGTATACTTCGTCTAAATCAGCAATGCTACGAAATGATCGTGCCCTCCTTGGCATACAGTGTTAATTTTCTTCCAGTTTAATCAATGTTAGCATAGAAATTCTTAAATATAGTTTAAATTTGTTTCTAGGACACAAAGGACCAAAGGAAAAATGTGTGGGATCAGGAAAAGATAACTGTAAACCTGTTCCTTCCGCACCGTGAGGCCTTCTTCTGTGGCCCTGAAGATTTAATATTCTGCTATTTGTCATGCAAACAACACGGCACTGTGATATGTATTTGAGTAAAAAACAGTAAGCATAGCAAGCATGCAGACGTATCATGATAGAAAAGCACATTTAGCGATCACTGTGGATAGGACATACCAAACAGGACACACCGCAGCATCACTGAAGCAGCATCTCAATAACCCTGCAGAGTTTTAAAGGATTCAGAATTGCTGGGGCTGTGGGTACGATGCACGTGCTGTACAGCAGCAAAGAGAGCACCAGGAACGGTGAAAAGGGGATTTCTGTTTCTCTGAGATATGACCTCCTTCTCTCATTAACTTACTCAGAACATGAGCATAAGGAGTGATTATTTGCTTATACCACTGCACTTCTGTTGGCCTTAAGCCTGAATGTTCTATGATGCAAATAAAAAGAAAACAATGTGGGGAACACTGCTTAAAGCACAACATACCATTGATTTTCTTTGTTTTGGTGTAGGGCCAGAGGGAATAGACATAAAGATAACTAATACCTGGCTGTCCAAATTATAATACAATGAATGCGGTTTTCATGCAGATGTGGTACAAAGTATCATGGCCCATGGTACTACTAATGCTGAAAGACTTTCTTCTTAGCACTCTACTCATACAATACAAAAATTGAGAAGTTGGCATGAAGGAAGTGTGATCTAAAGCAAAAGAAAATTTCTCCTCATAAAATCCTCCACTACTAGTTGCTTCATTTGGGACAAAACCGAAACATATCCTAAATCTACCGACAAAAAAGACAACACATAAACCATTCTCAGCTTGAGTATAACTCTTACTGCATTAAAGAATCTGTTTAACTTTACCCTCCAATGATAATGTCTCCTTAAATGGATTTCTAGAAGATTCTGCATTTGGTAAAAATAAATAAAAAAAAAAAAATCTGAACACAGGTTATTAAACTACTTTCAAATCATCAGTAGATCATTTTAGGGCTCGGGGTTTTTTCCCCTTAAATTGCCTTGTGGGCTCAGATGTTGACAGAAAGGGAAACATGACAATTTTCAAGTTGCAAACAAAACAGCGCCGTAAAAAACAATTCTGGAACTATGGTGCAACTAATACTTTTTAGAGTTTGAAAAGTTTCTTACAAAGCTACTTGCTAATTTTTCCAGAAGGCTGTTTAAACTAAAAGCAGTCAACATCATCTCAGGAGGGAGTTCATTAAAAAAAAAAAAAAAATAAAAATCCTCAAAGTAGAACTGATCAGAAGTTTCAGTCATGTCTAGGACCTACCCAACCATACAGCGAAGCAGGGAAGGCTTCATAATCTGGTTCACCTGTGTGTCCCACAGTAGGTCAGCAATAAATACAGACCCTGCTTGGAGGAGTAAAAGATACTCCCTTCTCTACTAAGCTGAAGGTAAGGGGCACCTAAAATGTATATGAAGGAATCTAGTGGAGCGTACAGGTCTGTATCACTCTCCACAGCAGCCCAGAGAGTAAAAAAGCAGTACACAGCTTCTGCTCTGGACAGTTCCCCTATGGAATGCACGTTCCAAAAAGTCCACTTCCTTAAGTGGAGCTACAATTTTCTTCAAAGCAGAAGATCGTAATAAATGGTGAGTCTTATAGGTCATAATCTTTCATGGGATATTATGAGCTCCTGGTCCTCTCATAGTATTACCACAAGACCAAAAAAAGGATAAAGTTTCAAACAAAACAAAGGAAAACATAAGGATCTACTGGATTAGGTGTTAAGAAGCCTGCAATATTAAGCAGAATTGTTAAGCAGTTCTGCAACGCTAAAAAATTACTAACATAAGAAATCAATTTATTTAACCCATAGGAACCACAAAAATGGTACATTTCAATTTTTTCTTCCTCCACTGACTCAAAATGTTCCTGTTCCCATGATGCTTGAAATAGGGAGAAAAAAGCTCACTCCGCTTAGATGGGAATTACTCTAAGAGAAATTAAATATCAGTAGATTGAACGAAAAAGAAAAAAGCATCATCATCTTATTATCTTTGTTTCCATTTTCTCTATTCCAATGTCTTACCAGCAACTCTATTTTGCTTTCAGTCACACACGGAAATAGAGAGACATCATGATTAAGAACTCTGTGTTTTAAACTGACTGTTGTAGCTCCTGGACGCAGATCAGCAAAAGACTTGAAAAGCTTCATCTATTGACATGTGAAGCACAGCGAACCAAACAACTGCAAAGTTTAATGGGGCTACCATTATTGTTTTTATTGAAAGAACCAATGCTTCATCTGTTTCACTGCATAAAGAGTACTTTGGACCCATTCCATTTAAATGAATGATGTGCCCGTGAAAAGACGAAAAGAAAAAGCACAATACTGGAAACAACAGTTCCTCTAGCACGCAGTAGCAGAGCACGTCTGGGGCTATGGGCTACAGCCGTGTTTGGGCTACCAGCTCATGATGCCCTCCCTCTGTTAGCTGGTTGTGGATGAAAAGATTATGAAGGACGTAATGAAATGACACCATCTCAATGCAACCTGCTAATTCAATAAGATTAAATCATCAGAGGACCATTTATTTAAATGGACAGGTGTAGCTTATCCCTTCTGTAAAGGAAACAGCCTGTTAGCACTTCTCACACTGATAATAAATCCCATTGGCTACCTCACATTGGGATCACAAGGCCTATAGCACAGCTAGAAATGCAACATCACAACCACCTGCAAGAGATCTGCTCCTCTGTTAGCTATCTTCCTAAACAGGCATGACCATAAACTTACTGTAGCTTAGAGATGTTAAGCATATTGCAATAAAAATGTCATTGCTTGGTTTTACTCTTGGTATTGTTACAGATACGGTACCATAGACGTTATTGAGCAATTAAAAAATATACGCAAGGGACAATAGTTTCTTTTTTCTGTATTTTTCAAAATTTGACTTTCTTCCAATTGGACAACCCAGTTTCAAATATGAAAAGGGCACTTGTTCTACAGTAACTGCATACAACTTGCTCAGTTCCAAGCACTGTATTCATTTTTTGTTACCGTTGCTGTCATTGTATCTCCAGTCGTTTAGGAACTTCTCCATTCTGGGAATAACAACTAAGTTGTTCTTTCTGATTCTATTTCCCCATAGAGTTCAGCTAGCTTCTTGAACTCAGGTCCCCAGTCTCCAAGGTAATTATAATCCTGGTCGGAGTGTGTTGTGGCTGAATCCAGAGAGCTGATAGATCCAGCTTCTGATCTATGACCTTCATAGGCATATGTCTGTAGGGAGTCATACGGGGGCACGCTGGGGTCCAGATCAGCCTCTGCCAGTCTTTGTTTAATGAACTCCTGAACATCTATACTGTCAAGGCTTGAGGAGGGATGATTCCTGGGGGCAGGCTTCACTTCAGGACGAACATCCCTCCGGTATTTTAGCTCCTCAGCAGCTGATGGATTCCGCAGTGCTGTGATGTCAAATGCTTCTGTGTCTTCTTCTCCACCACCCTCATCATCATATGTAACAACATTTTCCCGGACGTCTTCTTCTGAAATGATCAAGGGCTCCTTCTTGCTACGTCTTAGGGTGATGAAAAGGACCACAATTGCTAAAGAGAAAACTGCAGATATTAGATTAGGTTTGAAGCTTATATCTGAAGTAAGTAAATATATTTTAAAGAAATAGCAGTTACTAAGTCATGAATACAGAGCTGTAATATTTTCAGGCTAACATTGGTATTCAGGATGATTATGTCAAGCGCTTGTCTGTAATGAAGGGTCACTAAACCTGTCCAGTCTGGAATACAGCATACTCATATTCTGAAATGAGCAATGTCTTTGCTGTGTAACGTGTTACTGGAAGATGGATTACTGTATGCCTGGAAAGCACCCATGAAATCCATACAGCTGTGTTTTCACATAGGAACATGCCGAAGTGCAACAGGCTGAGACCACACAGATAAGGAAAAATTAATAATGCTGTACTGAAACTAAAAACTTCCAATACAGCTTGGTCTTCCAAAAGGTCAGTAAAAAGCACCCTTCTGCTGTATATTTTCTTTGAGAGGATTGCTGGAGTTTCTTGAGCCAATAATGAAATCCACTAGTTAAATTGTTAGGGATCTCATAAATGACAAAAGGGAGGATAACATTTTTTCAGTTAAATGAGAAACGAATAACTAGGACTGATTTTTTTCAGAAGCATTGTTAAGGGCTTTCAGTGCTTCATTAAAACCAATATTTAGTATATATATTGAATTAAAATGTAAAAGGTTTATTTTTCTCTTATGAATATTCAATCTTGTATGATAAAATATAAGGTTATAAATTAAATGTATTACTACACATTTTAAAACAGCTTTCTGACAAGGAAGTTCTGAAATAAGCTGTGAGAAAAGTATTCTTTAGAAAATGTAGAGCCTTTGGAAAACGTCTCCTATGTGGGTCACACTGCAACTCCCATTATTTCTTGCCATCTCTGTAAGAATGCAGAAAGGCACATGACTAGTACAGAGATATGTATCCAGCAAGTTGTGCTTCTATCAGAAAAAAAAAAAAAAAAGAATATTAACTAAGGAGTAACATTAAAATTAGCCTGGGGAAAAAAAAAAAGTCAAGAGAAAATGCATTTGCAAGGGCATTTATCTAATGGAGTCATCTTACAGTTCCGTATGTCCCTTGCCCCTGTGGATTATGTTGTGCATTGCTATCAGCTTACCCCACAAGGGTAATTAAGAAATGGCTTTTGTACAGTGCTAATGGTGCTTTTTACAGTGTAACGCATATCAAAATTTTTCCTCATCTCTTTTCTACCATTTTTTACACTGTTCTAGACATGGGATTAGAGTCAGAGGCTTTTTGAAATCTTTCCAAATTACAGAAAAAATCTGCAGTGCTAATTACTTGATAACCTCTGAAAAATAATTTCTAGCAGACTCCAGATATTCACGAATGTACTTTAAAAGCATTTCCCCCCCCACTAATTTTAGCTAAACCTTTCCCCTCTAATCACAGCTATGTGTTTCTAATTACGTCCTACTACCAGGCAGCCCCTGGTTCAAGAACACATCATACGAAAAAATTTCTGTCCTGTCACAGTCAGAGAGCCAGCGGAAGGACAGCACCACTTCGTACTGGACACGGCTTACCAAGAAGAATGACAACACAGAGGAGGATTGCGATCAAAGCTCCTGTGCTCAAGCCAGCCGAGGAGAGGAAAGCTTCAGCGTGGCAAGTCCTCACTCGTCCGTCGCTCTCACAGGCACAGACCCTGACGGTGAGCGTACTGCTGCTGCTGAGGGGGGGCACCCCGCCGTCAGAGATCAGAACCGGCAGGTAATAGGTGTCCTGAGCGGTTCGGCTGTATCTCCTTCGTCTTGTCAGGATACTGGCTGTATTATCTACAATATCAAAACCAGAATGCCATTTTAATGAAGCAGAAAATTAAAAATATTGTTGGTTGGTTGTTTCCTGTCCAGCAGAAGCATGGGGCATCTTAAAACTAGACAGTCCTAATCTGTGAAAACGCACAATCTAGAATTAAAGCTTGACAGGAAGCATCTGTGGCCAATGGACGAAAAAGAGGAGGAGGGGGAGAGCAATTAGCATTACATAAATAAGTTTATTTAAGCTCATGTACCTGTCTTAGAATCTAAGTGAACTCTGACAAACATCTTGGGCCCAGTTTGCAAGTGTTTTAATCCGATGTTATGCTGTTGGTTGTATAGGGACACTTGTAAATGTCCCTGGAATTCTGAGAATATCTGTCGCGGAATTCATCCACAACATAAAATCCTCTTCATTCTCAGAAGAATGTTAAAAGGTCTTTAGTAAAAGTTAAAATGAGACTTTCATGTTTCACTGTTTGTTATAGGTTTTAAAGACCAAGTGAGCTTTCAGAACACACCTGAAAGGACGCTGGCCTCATGCTGTGGAGAGGTCAGGAGGAAGAAGGGAAGGGAAAAGGGATGGAGGAAGGGGAAAAGAGCAAATACTACATGTTCTAAACTGGTAGAGGTCAAAGGTAAACAAAGGGGAGTCAGTGATGTAAGATTTTGTCACCATTATGTTACCTACGGTCCATCTGGCATATACTACAGTCGATGAGAATACTAATGCTTATTACAAGCACACTGTAAGAGCATTTATAGGCACTAATTAGGACAGTACGCTGCCACCCATATCCCTTTAAGCCCAAGAAATTAAGGGGCATAAAGAGAGTTCAGGGAAAGAAATGCTATGATAGTATATAGTTGTATCTTGTTTTCATATGTGTAAAATTTAATTTCATATTGTTGCCACCACTTTAAAAATCCTGGCCAATGAATAAGAGCCCACAGATAAATCAAATAAAATCGGAGATGGTGAGAAATCAGAGACATGAGCAGCTGTGGAGAGAGAGAGAGATGGGGACTGAGAAATGGGAAGAGAGATTGGAAAAGAGCTCTCCTCTTGTACTGCTTGCCCGTGATTAACAGTCACAGTTTCCAAATTGTAGGGTTGTGGGTTTGGAGTTTTTAAACAAAAAACACAGGAGTGATAAGTGCAAAACTCATCTGGGTTTCTCCCAAACAAAACAGGAAATTTCTTCTTTTTCCTTACCACTGTGGCTACAGCATTACATGGGTTTATCATAATCTATGGAAAAATGAAGTCTGTGGCACTTTTTGTGAAAATCTAGTGCAACAGTACAGCTAGTGTGGCATATTTTAGCCCATAGGACTGATTACTTTCTACATGCATATTTGAACAGAGGAGTTAAGGTTTTTTTCAAACTGGATACAAACTGTTTAACCAGCTGACTACTTGTCGTGCCACATCTTCTATCAAGCTCTGCGCCAAATTTCAAAACGTGCATTTTAAATAACTTCTCTCAACATTTTGCTTTTGCGTATCACCTGACAGTGGTGCTGAGAAAAACTGGTAGTATAGCCCCACACCAGCATAATATCATACCATGTGGTAAGCGGTAACAGGTTTCACGCAAGAAATATATATGAGATGGGATGTGACACCCTTGGCTGCTGAGCCAAGAACTGAGCATCAGGTTCCACTGCGTTGAAGCTCATTAGCTCTTCTTCCTTTGCAGGTTAAGTAGCACCCCTCTACTTATCTTGCATGGTGGGTTTTTTATAAACTTATTAAGTTTTGTTCTTCTCATTTGCAGTGGGTGCAAAAATACAATATTTATTTGCAGTAGGCCTTGAAGTCCTCTTCTACTTGTTCATGTAAGATACTTTTGACGACTGAATCCCAAGACTCATGCCAACTTCCTCTTTCGAGGAATAACACCAGCCAGTTATAATGCTGTCTATATTCATTCCATTTACAGAACCCTACTGAAACCAGAATGAGATGACCGATAATTCTTTCATGTGAAAAAATCTGACACAGAGTAAGATCATCACATTCTAGAAATGATATTTGTATAAAATACCTATGATAAAACATACTGTTTTCCTTACAAAGTTGCCAGAGAGATACTCTACCCCCCCAACAAAAAAGTGTTTTCAGTAACCTACAGAAGAACCCCAACACAGAGATGATTAAAAGATATACAGTAAATTAATATTTTCTTTTGATGTAAGATTGTGGAAATGATTCCTATATACCTTATGACATGCAGAAATATTTCTTTCATTTTTATAAAAACTCTGTTAGAATTTAGCTCTTCTCCATATTGCTTAATCTGAGTTTATGAAACTTTATAAAAACATACTGTGGTATTCTCAGCATTTTTCATCATCTTATTGTTAAGAAATAAATTATTTCTACATTATTCTGCAACTAGACTAAGGAACAAAGTGTTCTGTGTTATAATTTAGTCAATTGATTGAAGAAACCAAGCTCTATATCACTGAAATTCAGATTGCATTTATTATATGAAGAAAGGTCTCTCCTAAAGCAGATTGAGCAGTGGCCTTAAGGACATAATTACAAACTGTGCCCACCCATGGAGGTCTTACTAGGCTCTGCCAGTCTAATTCTAAGATATAGGGAAAAGTCCCAAGTTTAATTTTACAAATTTGGACCAGCTTGTTCTTTGATACCTGTATGGTCTTCTACTTTTAATTAAATGCAGTACACGAACAATTTCAGTTATCTACTTTAAAATACTTCTAAAACAAGCAAATAATCTTATGAAACACAGATTATAAAGAGATAGATTGCCTGCATGTCTTTTAATTTTTCAAGACATACAGTGATATAAACAGGGGGTAAAGTAAGCAGCTGTTTTATCTTTCTGCTACATAACATTGCATAAAAAAACTTTTGCTTCCTTTTTTTTAGTAATACCTTGCCCATTTGCCACTCCCTCCATTTTTTTTTGTGTTAGACTGTCAGTCCCAACTTCCCTAATACCGCTGGAGGACACAGACAAAATCTTCCCTTCAAGAGGGAAACCACCATAGAATACAAAAATGACCTTCAGCTAGCCTGTCAGCTGCCAAGGCAGTGGCAGATTGAGCTCTAGACACAGCCCAAGAGCAGAAATAAACTCATATATCTGTGGTTAATAGGGAATTTCAAACAAATACATATTTTGCCTAAAAAATAAGGTCAATGTTCTCAGTATATATATAAGGTGATAACTGCTGCTGCTGCCTTGCTACACTCAGAAAAGCTTCATCATCATTTCCCCCACATGCACGAAAAAGTCCACTGACTTTTCTAGTGCTCAGAATCCAATCTATAATTGCTTCCCTTCCTTGAAATGCAACTTGTTACAGGTTATTAGCAGAGCTCCTCTCTAAAAATGTCTCTTTTTATGTTGCAGGTTCTCAGACAAAACAAGGCTGGGGAATACAATCCCTAGAACATCGATTGTTCACGCTGCTAAATTTTAGTACTCTGGTATTTTGTTGGTCTGGGACAACCAGGAGACTCTCACATAACACCCAATCATCGTTAACAACTACACCAGAGACCCTTCCCAGCAGGCAGTGTGGACAAGAGTGCAACAGGTTTGTCTACTCCCACTTTACACTGCGCTTCAACATTATTCCAGCAGCCTATGGATCCTTAAGCATCACTAAAGAGCCTCATGCCACACTCTCTGCAGCACATTACTTCCTTTCATGCCATGCTAACACGACTCTCTTGGGCTGCAATCCAACTTTCTCATTATTTCATAAAATCAGAAGAGAAAAAAACCCCCCATAATAAGGGAAATCTGAACTCCACTGGGTACTACACAGGGTCCAGAGGAGGTACAAGGCTAAGTGCTATGTAATGTACACAGCCTGTGTTATTAAGCTTCATTGCGAGAGAACAGTCACAGTCCTGTTTTATTTTCTGGGTTCTTTTTTCTTTTTTCCCTCAGCACCGATATTGCCACAATAAACTAAAGCCTGAGTGGTCACCTAGAAATCCCACCGAAGTCGTTAGAGAAGTGCAACACTCCCATATGTACTTTTTAGCACATGTACTTATCAACAGAAAAAGAAAACAATTTCAAAGAAGTGACAGTTCTAAGGAGAATTATATTTCAAGTTACAACAACTCAGAAGATGACAATCACACAACAAAGTTATCCATAAATAATATCTTAAAAACCTAAGGATATGCTCTAGGACTTGGCTTGAAATGTAATTCCCTATTGGTAGTAAGTGACACTATATCCATGAGCTAAGCATTAATATTAACATCTGTCATGTCTCTCATCCCAAAAGAAAAAATTGTCATATCCTATACTGCTAAATCCAAAAGGTGACAGCAAGTGTTATTACAATAATAAGAACAGTTTTTCATTTCTGTTTAATATTCTATTGTATTTCTGCTACAGTGCACAAGCCCCCAACACTGCAGTTCAGCTACCTTGTCCACGTAAGTAAGAAAATCCTACAAAATTTTGTCCATGTGAATCTTTCTGGGCCTATGGCCAAAGGCGGCCCACTATTAAAATCTGAGCAGGAAAGCATAACCTCCTCCTCCCATCCTCTGGCATAAATCTAAAAAGGAGTGAATGATCCAGTATCATTATACAGCTATAGAAGCAGCGATGAAAATGTAGGCTGAAAAGAAAAGCATCAGAGACGAAATAAAATGAAAAAAGCTGAGGATTCCTGGGCATGAATCTAGCAGTAATGAAAGGATTTAAGCACAGAAGACTATTGGCAAAGATGTAAAGGAAAGAGCATTGAGATGTCAGCATGTATGCTATAAGGATAACTGTGGACAGATGGGGGAAAAATTGTGAGGACAATAAATAAAAACTGTGAAAAAAATAAAAAGGCCAAAATGACAAAATGGTCAAACTGGACAATTCGAATGTTACAGTGAAAAAATCTGAAAAGAGCTACAATTACACCATGCTTCTCTAGGGTGGAAAGTGTCGCCAAACAAGGAACTGATGTTTTTATACCGCACAAAATAAATACAAACTGAAAAAACAGACATT